CATGTGTGTGGAGGTCACAGAACAGTCTCAGGTGGTGTTCTTCATGTTGCCATCCTCTTTAAGAGATGTTATTTAGACAGGGTCTCTCACTGCCTGTGAGCTTACCAAGTAGGCTAGGCTGACTCTCAGGGACCCATCAGAATTTACCTCTCTAGAGCTGGTAGAGGTACCGAGATCTTTTTTTTATTATTTGGATGAGTGCTTTGCTTGCATTTATGTCTGTGCATCACACATGTACAGATGCCTGTGGAGGCCAGAGGAGGGTGATAGGTTCCCTCGAACTGGAGTTACAGATGTTGTGGGTGCTGAGAACCAAATCCAAATCCTCTGCAAGAGCAGAAAGTGCCCTTAACTGCCTAGCTTTGTTTCCAGTGTCCCGGATCTTTTATATGGGTTCTGAGGCTCAACCTCAGTACTTAAGCTTGCAAGCCAGGCACTGGACCAACTGAGCCATCTCCCCAGTGCCCACCACTCTCTCACACAGCTAAATTTTGTCCTCTCGGGGTACTGACCTATGGCTTTTGTTTCTTTGCTATTTTTGCACAGAATCTAAAGCAGTGTTGTGAAATAAGAACAATCTGACACTACCTGCCAATTTGGGGGGAAAAAGTTCCACTTCATTCCAAGATGCTCTCCTCTCTGTTACCCTCCAACTTCTCAGACATAGCCAAGAGACAAAGTCAGACTGGGTGTGAGGAATATGAAAGTGTGGGTAGGATCCTTTAGCTAGCTTTCTAGCAGATGAAACATTGCTCTCTGTAGTATGGACTACATACAGTCCAACCTGCAAAGGAGATCCTGTACCCTGTCACATCACCACAGCAGTCACTGTGCACGAATTTCCTTGCACAGCCTCATGAACCATACCTAGGGCATGTGTACATGCTTAATCTACAGCCATATTAGACGTTCAGGTTCCTTATGGCCTTTCTTGGGATCTTTGCTGCCATTTCTGGTCACAGATAGTTTTCCATCTTATCACCTGCATAGTCTGCCTTCTTTCCTCTCTTGTCACATATTCTGTTAACTGCCTCGTGATGATGCCTGCGTTATTTCATCCACTCTTCGGAAACCGCAATGAAATGTGACTGATAAAGTTCTAACAATAATGCCATGGCAACTCTCTCCTTGCTCTTAAGTAATAGTGAAGTTGTTGACCACCCCCCCCCCAGTTCTAAGACATGGAGGGTGAGCCTCACTCTTCTAGAAGCCACACCTTCAAGTTATAGTTCTCCCTCTCTATGGGATACATCTTTTGAAAGCATGCCATCACCAATCTTTTAGGCACAACAGAGGACTGCCAGTTGCCAGCATCAGGGTGTTGTTCTTTTTTTGGTTGGTCCTGGACTGACAACACCACCCCCCCACCCCCGCCGTGTGTGTGTGTGTGTGTGTGTGTGTGTGTGTGTGTGTGTGTGTGTGTCTGTGTGTGTAGGGAATTACCTTTCCTAAAATGCAAGAGAATTATTCTAAGCTGAAAGCCACTTAAAATTCCGTTTTTTTCTCATGAGAAGACCTCATAGGAAGCCCCAGCTTTCAGCTGCATCTTTCTGAAAGGATACCTTCTGTGCATTCTCCAAACAGGCCTCCTTGTTATGACTCGAGTGCTGACAGCCTGCCAGGGAATTAGACCTTTCTTATCATTCCCAGACTACTTTGCCTTGCTGTGAACGCCAGGCCGATGGGAGGGCCACAGACTGCTCTCTTAAGCTGTGCTCCAGCTCCATCCAGGCTCTGTACACCAAGGGGAAGTCCTCTTTGGATTCCAAAAGAAAATTAAACTCCTTGGAATCCCAAACTAATGAATTTTCACAGAGCAGTCCCAGATGGATTGACTATCGTGATATTTTGGTCTCACCTAACCAATAAGAGGGCCACTTGGCAATTTCCCAGCATGAATATTCTTATATGGGTACTGGGATAGAGGAAGCCAAAAGATTTTCCAACATCTACATGCTCAACTTACACCCCACCTGAGTTCTGAAGCAGAGATCTTGTGACGGTTGGGGCCCTGCAGAGCAATTAAAAGAAATAAAGCAAAGTATTATATTTTAATTGATGTAATCTTCAGGCTCCCAGTGGAATCTGGGGTGACATCTGACTAGAGTTACCCCAGGTATCAGTAGATGGCTATTCTGTGAAAGTGCATTTAGGAAGACAAAAACCCCACAAACCTGAACTCCATTAACATGCATATCCGTTTTGAAGGGTGTGTGTAAGGAGGGGGAAGTTGGCTCAGACTCCCAGAACTGAAAATTGAAAGAAACCACCTAGACTTTGCTAGGATCAGGACAAAGGGTGGACAGTAAAGAGGGGGGTGGAGAGAAGGAGGGGGAGGAGAAGAGGAGGGAGAAGAAAGGAGTAGAAAAAGAGAGATGGGAGAGGCAGGAGAAGGGCAAGACACAAAGTGGACCCTTAGTTTAATTCTCCTTTAGAGTCTTACAGCTGGGCAGTGGGCACAGGGACCACACTTCCCAAACCCAAACAGCTCTCACCCATCACTAACATTTCAGGGTTTGTTTTATTATAAATATTCCAGTCGAAGAAAGATAAACAGACAAGAAAAAACTGCTTTATACGGTACACAGATTCAGATAGAAAACACAGGATGGGAAAGAAAGCCAATGACCAATGGGTCAAAGTTGGGGGAGACGAACCAAGGACCAGAAACAGCTAGGAGCAGATTTACACGGCAACTGGAGGAAGGCGCAGTGATGGAGTTAAGGAAAGCTGCCTAGTGCTGTCAGTCTGGTCATTATTCCAGGAAGGCAACGAGACAGACATTACAAATGATGTGTGGGAACATTTACTTCACTGATCCATTAAAAAAAAAGTTTCTATTGATCAAGATATCCTGCTCATAAAAACAAGTTTTGTTTTTCTAAAAAAAACAACCCTTCTTGTCCAAGATGTGACCAGACAGGGAGGGATCCTGTAGTCAGAAACACGGGAAAGGGCTGGAGGTTGAAATAGTTGCGATACCACTGGAGTCTTCTGGCCTTCAAGAGCCTTTCCCACCTTTCTCCACAGGGCATGGTAAAAACAAAAGCAGAAACAAAACCTCAAGCGTCCCACACAGCTTGCTGTCATTGGGCAGTTAAATATGAAAAAGGATTCAGAGTCACCAGCAAGAAAGAGGTCAGTTCAGGGCTGACATGGCATCTCTTATAGGAATTGAGAAGAACCAGGGTTACAACTCTAACAAATAGTCCCAGCACAGAGAGGATGCCAACCTATCCAGAAGGCAGAACTGGGGGTTCAGCTCAGCATCTTCAAAAATGCCTTTGTTTTAGTACACTCAGAACAAGAGCCATGTGGAATCAGCTTAACTCAAGGTGATGGTGGTGAAGGTAGGGTTGGTGGCCCCTGCTCATCCTTCTCTTGGAATTTTCTGAATATACAATCAGAAATTGCATAGAATTTGTTTTCCATCAGAAAAACAACAATTCTCCATGGAATCCTGGAGTGATTACACAAACACCAAGCAGCTCCTCGGAAGTCCTGGCTCTCCCATCAGGAGAGCACTCTGGACCTTGCAAACCTCCTATGGGCAGAGAAGTCCCTCGACACTTAGGGAAGTATTTCTAACTTCCTGTCTGTAGTAGAGAAGTCAGATGCTTCATCCTTAGTTACACAAGGAATGCTACTGACCACACTGAGATCTGATTTATGGTTCCTAGTTCCTCAACCAGTGACAGGCTAAAAGACTGCTCTCTCTCTCTCTCTCTCTCTCTCTCTCTCTCTCTCTCTCTCTCTCTCTCTCTCAGGAACTAGGCAAATCATTGGCTACTTAAGGGCTTTCTGATTCATAAACATATGCACATATTCTTGGGTACACATACATAATTCCGTATGAATACACACACACACACACACACACACACACACTTGCACCCAGGTTTCATGTCTAGTACCCCCCCAAATCACCAATCTGTAAGAGCCTTGTGGGTAGTGCTTTGCAGTCAGCCATTGAGTTCAGCTACAAAGAGATGCTTTTAAAGGGTCCATCATACCAGCGGGTGGCCCTGTCCTCTCTCCTCTCTAAGCAGTACATGGGAATGGAAGCCAGGACCACAGCATGGGAAAATCACACACCCTCTCCCTACTCTTTACATAGTACCCAGCATGCTTTGCATATTCTGTCTTCCTTCTGTTTTCAGAGTTGAAAATAGGGAAAGAGAAAGAAAAGCCAGATTAACCCTTGAAATCCCAGGCATTTCAAGGTGTCTTCTTGTAGACTACAGGCTAACTGCCTTTTTTTTTTTTTTTTTTTTTTTTTTTTTTAATGGCATTTAACAAGTTGGCTGGATAGACTTTCACCCAAAGCCCTCTACACTCAGGGAGATCACAAAACACCAAATGACAAGAGGGGGGCAAGGTCAGTGCCTAAAACCCTGTGGACCAGCAACTCCAAAGCGAGAGAGAGAGAGAGAGAGAGAGAGAGAGAGAGAGAGAGAAAGGGGTCAGACTTCCATCCACCAACCCACACTCCCAATCCCAAAGCACAAGACAAGGGAACTTCAGACCTTGAAACCAGAAGAGACAAAGGAAAAACGGGAGAGGAAAGAAAGGGACATTAACAAAAATATACAAATTCAGAAAAGAAAACTTCCCTGTTGAGTTTAATTTTCTTTTTTCCTGTTAAGAACTAGACCCAGGGTACAATGGCCCCTTCCTAGGGGGGAATTCAACTGATGATGCCATCAACTTCTTGGACTTCTTCCATCAGGGCTCCATTACCCAGACTCCGTGTTATTTACGTGTGAAAGAGGGGCCCTTTGGGAGGAGATGGGTCCTTGTGCCCAAAAGGGACAGCATCTCTGCCACGTGAATGCAAAGTCTCCGTTAGATCCAGCTCTCCCACAGGGCAGGATCTGTCTCCTGCTGGGACATCAGCTTCTGATGCCCTTTGTAAAGTGATTGAATCCTGAATCCGGAGAGAAGGATGTTGTAAAGTCAGCCCTCCCGCCTCCCCTCCTGGCTCTGCAGTCCTTCGCCCACTACTCGGGCTCGCTGCTGTTGGTGGTCTTGTCCCACTCCAGGCTCTCCTCGCTGCGCGCTGGCGATGGTCGTGCCCTCAGGCCCTGAAAGCGTCGGCACTCCGGACACACACGAATGTGCGTGCAGCCGCGGGCCACCAGGGCGGCCTCTTGTGCCAGTCTCTGCGCCAGCTGGTCGGGCTCCCCGGCGCCACACAGCTTGCCATTACTGAGCGTCGCGGTGCCACGAGGTCGACGCTCCTCCAAGACTGGGGGCTGGGGTGGTAGGCCTCCAGAGCGCCGCCGCCGGGGGTGGATACTGTCCTGACACAGGATGATGCTGCGCAGCTCCGTCACCATCTCCTGACACACAGACACCTGGGGGAGACAGCGGAAGTCACAGAGAGGCGCTGAGAACCGACTTCATGGGTTTCTTGGGGTCGTAGGCATTGGGTGTTTGGACAGTCTGTCACCTCAGGTGTAAGGGTTAAGAGAAGGCTTCATTCCCACCCTATTTAAGGCTCAAAAGCCCTCCACACAACAGCCTTCTTTCAACAGCCCTGCCAGACCAGACCCAATCTTTGGCCACTTTCAAAGAGCAATCTCAGCATCTTGGGAAAGCCAGTGTACCATTTCTGAACATTTCCACTAACGGCTGCCTCCTCCTACTCTGCTTAGTTTCTAACCCTGAGAATTTCACCCACTGACCTCAGGTAAATATGGATCTTGAAACCTACTTAAAACAAACACTCTCTCCTATATCAGTCTCTCTGGTATTTGAAAAAGTCATCATTTGTTCATTTTATCTTCAGCCCAAAGATTCCCATGTCTTTTAGTCACCATGCCCAGTTGAGTTGTCTGAGCTGGAAGGGAACAATCTGGAAACACTGCAGGAGGAAGCAGCCCTATGTTCTTCCCTATTCTCTCTTTCAGCTCCATCAGCATGACAGGTCTACCACTGCCAAAAACCAACACAGCCTTGACTTCCTTCTAGCTGTCTCGGGTGAAGCTGCCAATGGCTGGAGATGATGCATCCCGAAAATCACTGAAATAAACAACTGCTGCATCTGTAGGTCCACAGTCTCCTAATTTGAAACACTTGGCTCCAGCTTGTTCCAAAACTCGGAATATTCCGGATTTTAGAATGGCATTACAATTCACAAACACCATATTAGGTTTAACATCTAGTGGGTCTGGGACAAACTCCATATTCAAACGCATTTCACTGAAATAAACAACTGCTGCATCTGTAGGTCCACAGTCTCCTAATTTGAAACACTTGGCTCCAGCTTGTTCCAAAACTCAGAATATTCCGGATTTTAGAATGGCATTACAATGCACAAACACCATATTAGGTTTAACATCTAGTGGCTGGGACAAACTCCATATTCAAACGCATCGCTATTTCCACAGCAAAATGTTTGTGTGATCACACTGAATGCAATGAAAACAGTGCACATTAATCAGGCTTTATGAAAGAATACATTTGCATCCAACTTACGAAGAACTTGGACCATTCCTAGCTTTGGGTATCTGAGGACCAGTGGATAAAGAAATATGAACTTGTGTTACTATCATT